GAGAGCTCGTTGGCGATCTCTTTCGCAGCTCTCTGTCTAATGACATCATTATCATAGCTTGATTCGATCTCTGGGTTCTTCACACTGTCAATCGATCAATACCACAAAGCAATAATAAGAGAACTAAAAAAAAAAACACATAACAACTACTAAGCGGGTATTTCCCGAGGGAGAGTCCGGCACACTTAGGGCGCTCACACAAAGGCTTGGTATTACTAAACGACAGACTAGACACAGAAGAAGAAGAAGAAGAAGATGAAGAAGAAGAAGAAGAAGAAGAAGAAGAAGAAGAAGAAGAAGAAGAAGAAGAAGAAGAAGGAGGAGGAGGAGGAGGAGGAGGAGGAGGAGGAGGAGGAGGAGGAGGAGGAGGAGGAAGAGGAGGAGGAGGAAGAGAAGTAGCATTTTCTAAATTCATTTCAACCAAAACCGTGTGCAATGAGCTGCAGGGAAAGCGTGGACACTTGTTTTGGGGGTAGCCCAGCATCTGGGAGCTGCCAATTCTCCTTCCTCGGGCCCTGGCCGTCAGGATCAGACCTGCTCCTGCTGGAGTTGGAGTCCACAAGGACCAAGAACTGTTCGTGGGGGTGGCAGGGGTCAGTGTCACCTACAGTGGTGGTTGCAGCAGTCTGCTGCCCAGCAGGACAGCTCCTAACCAGATCTGCTCCTGGGCCATGAACTATGACCTTGGCAGGGGTGCCAGCCCACTTCTGTGCCTGATTTTCCATTTTCCTGTCAATTCTAAGAGGTGACATGACAAGTTCACACACAATGGGAAGCAGAGCAGGTTCCCAGCCCAGGTCTGTCTGCCTCCCAGGGCTGTACTGCTACCTCCCTCCCGCTCCGCCTCACCAGGCTACCCCTAACTCCTAAGACTTCAGTGGTTCTCAACCTTCTGGCCCTTTAAATACAGTTCCTCATGTTGTGACCCAACCATAAAATTATTTTCGTTGCTACTTCATAACTGTAATGTTGCTACTGTTATGAATCATAATGTAAATATATGATATGCAGGATGGTCTTAGGCAACCCCCGTGAAAGGGTCGTTCGACCGCCAAAGGGGTCGCGACCCACAGGTTGAGAACCGCTGTCCTAAGTGGAAGGGAGCCTCGTGCAGCTAGTGAGTGGCTCAGGGTCAGTGCAGAGGGGAAGCTACAACGGGAGGGATGGTCTTACACTTTTCCTTGGGGTCTTCTTTCTACGCGACTTTTTTTTGTGTGCACACCAATTGTGTACTCCATTTTTTGTGCGTAACAATTATGTGCTAGGTTTGTGCTCACATCCTTCTGAGGTAGCAGGATCTGAGGTTTGAAGACAAGTCCTTGCTCAAGCCAGTAACTGCTAGAGCCCAGCTGGTGGGTGCAGGGCTGTCCCCAGCACTGTGTGCGGGTTCTGCCTCCCCCAATTCTGGGTCTTCTTCATGGCTGGGTGGGGAGTAAGAAGTCATGGGTCTGAGTGTCTTCAGAAGAAGGGATCCCAGAGGAAAAACAGAACAGATGGGGAAGACGCCTGGCTGCCGCCCCCACGCTTCCTTCCCACTTGACAAGGGGACCTTTGACCA